GAATAATAATTTATTCAGTAAATTCCTTGCACAAGTTTCCTATCAGGTACAATATACAGTTCAGCATGTATATAAACAACACAGGTATAGAGTGTACCTAGACAACACAGGTATAGAGTGTACCTAGACAACACAGGTATAGAGTGTACCTAGACAACACAGGTATAGAGTGTACCTAGACAACACAGGTATAGAGTGTACCTAGACAACACAGGTATAGAGTGTACCTAGACAACACAGGTATAGAGTGTACCTAGACAACACAGGTATAGAGTGTACCTAGACAACACAGGTATAGAGTGTACCTAGACAACACAGGTATAGAGTGTACCTAGACAACACAGGTATAGAGTGTACCTAGACAGTGTAGGTATATACAACAATAATAAACAGTAAAACAATTTCACCAAGGATAGTCAACAAAGGCATAAATAAATTCACTTTCACAGATAAAAACTTATATGAATTTTCTCTCCAACTTCCAAGGTAACAATGCAGCCTTCTAACTGTACAGTGTGGTCAGTGGTGGGGAGGTGTGTGGCCTCCCTCCACATCAACCTAAGATGTATTACCAACCATAAATATACTTTTATACCTCATTTAAAGTAATACAGTACTGACCTTAAGTGGAATACAGAATAAATTCATTATAAAATTAATAATGACAAAAAATGCAATACTGTATCTGTAAAATGAATAGGTCAGATTAGTTTACATTTACAAGAGACCAATTTATTACATTTACTTTACTTTACTTTTATCCTCTTCGCCACTGATCGGCTTGTTAGCCGCTTGGGCGATCGGTCACGTCTCTTTTCATTTATATTCTTCACCAAAAGATCGGCTCCGCTTCTTATCTCTGTCACGCACTGTTGGCAAATACTGGGTATCACTCTCCTGAATATACCCGCTCCCGCCTATACCGTCTTAAGAGCTCACACTCGGTGCCGTCACAACACTTCTGGTAGATTGTTCCAAGAGTTTACAACCCTCACTCCGAAAAAAGTTTGCCCTCACGGTTTTCCGACTTTCGCTTTCAATCTTGAGCTGTGACCCTTGTGGGGCGAGCGTCCGCCAGCTCCAAGTAAGGACACTCAACTGAGTAGTGCCCCTGAGATGCTTATAAACCTCAACTAGGTCCCCCCTTGCCCATCTGTAGTATAAGCTAGGCAAGTTCAGGCGCTCCAATCTCTCAGGGTAGCTGAGGTGCCGAAGTGCAGGCACCAGTTTGGTGGCCCTCCTTTGAACATTTTCAACCAACTGACAGTCCCTAGCATATCTCGGGGACCAGATGGGGTGACAGTACTCCATCTATTACATGCGGATGTTAAAATTATATTTACAGCTAATTCATAATTACTTTTAAGTTTGGTACAGTAATACTGTATACAAAAGAGAATAACTGTACTGTACTGTATTACCCTGTAAGACTGGTATCAATATTCATTACACATATGCTCCTCAACTTACGAGTGAGTTACGTTTCTAAGGCTTGTTCGTATAAACCTATTCGTTCATAAATCCATCTTTACTCTTGTAGATATTGAACATATTGTACAAAATGAAAAAAAAATTATATATACAGTTATACTTCAATAATAAATACAGCATTATTCTACAGTATATCTTACCAGCCTTTATCAGTGTTCTAATGTAAATATAGTCAACTGGACATATTGACAGATTTGTTCATATCTGTGAAGTTCGTAAGTAAAATGTTTGTAACTAAAGGAACACCTGTATTTCTTTCTTACAGGTAACATCAGTTCACAATAATATCAACAACTGGTAAAAGTGTCAAGCCGTCATCCACACCACAACTAACTTTGGTAAGCAACACTCGTGTGCCACCAACACCGAACTCACTGCGACAAAACAGACAAAAACGTAATCCGAGAAGGTATTCCTACATGAGGAACATTCTGCTCAAATGTTCACACAAAACAGGTGACTGAGGCGACATGTTGAAAGAGACATGCAAAGATACACATAACAATAAACCACAACACACTACAGATTCAATAAAATGTACAAAATACAAAATGCAATTCTCACCTTCAGTGGCTGTGTTTGGTCCTCTATTGCATCGAAGATAGTCGTCCATGGTTTAGATTCTCAAAGGTTCATACAATGGCTATTCATCTAAGGTAATTTTATTCCCTAACTCATAATAAAGGGTCGCATAAAGGCTCATTGGGTTCCCGGGGTTATGTGTTAATTTAGGTCAACCACTTAAGAACATTGTTACATCTTCACTTACAAGGAATAACACATCATATGAACCTTTAAGTATTTTATTGTACTTACCCTACCCAAGGTAAACATACAGAGAGCATTACCAAGTGACAAATTCATACCTGGGGAGAGAAACAAAGTCCTATGTAACTCACTAAGTATCTTCATATACACACTGTACGATACGTGATGCATATAAACCAACTCTTGTTAACCACTTGTGTATAAGATTACCTCTCTATTGAATAAAATCACTTACCATTGGCGAAATACGATATTAAAAGTGACATCCCTGTAGTGAAGGCGGTATGATTAGTGAAGGCAACTAAATAATATTATCCGTTTTAATTTACCCCCACACAAGACAATATTTTTACTGAGAATCCTTCACCTGTGATATACATTCTAATCATTCAGCCTGTAAAAACTCTAATCAATCACCTGTAGCAATGAAGTGTTGCGTCGCATCCAGACGAGCCTGAAGATGAAGTGCCAGCCAGGTGAGCAAGGAGAGGCCAGCTAGTGCTAATAATAACAGTGCAGATCGTACAGCCTCGCCGGGACTAGACACCCATGACTGACACCCATTACTACCCATGCCCACACTTACACAACCACACCATCGTCCCGCCTCCTCGTCTATGTGGTTCGGGGACACGCGGAGGAGGTCGCGTTCCCGTCTGTTTCAGAGATAAAAACAAGGGATTCGTTAAACTACAATAAAATAAGAAATTATGGATATGATTTTTGCAAGTATCATAAGGTACAGTACATGCAATCCCAGATTTATGAAAAGGTTCCGTTCTTGAAAACCTCTCGTAATTTTTGTCCTAAAGCGGATCATATTTTCCCACTGACTCCCATTATAAAAGCTGAGACACATTCCATCGTTAAAAAAAAATATTCCCAAAACATAATAAAAAGCTACAAAACATTTCTCATAAACTTTTTGATGAACATAAAGATTACTAGTCAATAATAAGCGTTGTAAGTGAAATATATGAGGTGGATCACATGTTCGCTACACAGAAACTGCACCAAAAAGCACAATTTTCTAAAGTTTCTGCTGCTACTGTTGTTTCTCAGTGAGTATGAAATTGAAGCTTTATTTTTAGTGCCTGTGAAGCGTCCGGACTCTTCTTGCTCATATAAACAAAGATCGTGTCCTCATTGTGTGGGCAGGTGACAGTGTCTTTATTTACGAGAAAATCTAGGAACAAAATCAGATTACAAAAAAGTGCTCTTCTAACACCCAATTTACTTTATTAGGGTAAGTAATTAGTTTTCCTTTATAGATATTTCTTACGGTAACTGACTAAGCCGTACCCTTGTTCTTGAATATTACCTGCGACTATCACAAAGTGTTTAGGAAGACTACTGTACCTTGAGAGCTGATAAGACTGAGGATAAAGGAAGTCATAAGAAAATAAATATTCAACACTAATTGATGAAACTTAATACAAAACATCATCTCAGACCAGAGCAAAAACGACTTTGAATTCATGAAAAAACAACAATACGCAAACTGACCAAAATCATCAGCAAACGAGACTGAATCACTTAATTTATTACAGTACAGTACATCCTCTTATGTTTCTCACATAAATCACAAATTTCCTACAATTTCTATATGGTAAGAACATCGAACATAATTAAAGGATTTGTAAATTTCACTGTTCCATTAATTATTTTCCTAACCTATCTTAACCTCTCAGGCATCATTAGGGTATTCGATTATCAGGTAAAATAAGGTGGGAGTTAATCTACAGGTGATATAATTATAACCATGAGTGACATACAACAGCTGGACAGATAAACAATGCCATATATGTAACAGTATCTCTGTATATAATTAACCCAACACCTTATTAATCCTGTACGGGTAAATTAATGTCTCTAAACTAATATATAAATCTCAGTATCTAACATAAACTTTTAGCAATAATTTATAATAAGAACATCATATCTTTTCATCATATTTGGAACTATATAAAGTACTACGATTAACAAACTCCAAAAAATATATACTCTAATGGTTAAATGATGTTAAATATAAGAAAAACACGACAGTATATTGTATATATATAAAAATCTATGTATGAATGTTAATATAAGGTTATATAAACACACCTTTTCAACCTCTTCTTTCTCTGAGGTGGAGGATTGTCTGGCATGGGGGCGAAGTGTATCACCTCATTCTCTGAGTCTGAGCCTGACAAGTCTAGTAATTTGTACGAGTCCATACTATTGTTATTTAAACAAGACCCTGAGACCATTTTGAACACCTGACACAATAACACGCTACATCTCCAAATGTTTGATTACACTATCATCGTCCACCTGACACAAGACATAACTACTAAGCAGCTCAACAGATGGCAGTGAACCATTGTGTGTGTAAGGTCTCTTTAACTATCACCTGGTGTTAAATGGCAGTCACATTAATCATGGTGAGTCACCGCCCAACCTGATAACAATTAGTGGCGATGATAAAAGAAAACAGACACAGATACACAGGAAGACACCCATAGACACGCAGACAGACACACACAGACATATACACAGACAATTTATGACGTTTCCCGCGCAAATGCCGAGTATTATTGTTGTTATGATCCGCCATTAATACTATGATAACAACTTTAAACTCATTGAGTCATTTAATGCCGGCATTTTTGTTTTGTTTCTACGGGCATTAGCCAATCAGGGCACAGGTTATTTTTAATGACCCACATCAAGCCTTGGGATTAAAAAAAAATCAAAACTTTTGTCTTATAATTTTTTGTTCAACAAATTTCCATGGTGACAACAGAGGACCCCGAGAGACGTCATAGGATGTTAAATCGGGGGATGCCTATATAGGTACAGGTATATTGTTTTGGGAATACAGAGAATTACTGACCTCTCTAGATTTACTCAGAGCTTATTCATGGACTTCAAAATCTCTATCCTCTCCTGACTACTTTTTCACTTACCTAACTTGGGCAGTACAATAGGAGTCTAAAAAATAATGAAAGTAATGAAATGATTTAAAGAAAGGTTATAATACCGAGTCTATTTATTCATATCACATTGTTTACACTAATGAATGTCTCCACTAGTAACATCACTGCTTAAAACATCCATCGAGTATAAAAAATTTCTTGACCACTTTGTGCAGCTACTGAGACAAACAAGTTCATAAAGGGTTTGTACAGTACTTCATCTAACGTAAAACATCGTAAGTTAATTAATCCCATTTAAGTTTTCTACATAGAATCATTAGTATTTGTTGCAAGGTAAATATACATTAAATTGTGCTCAAGTGTTTCTGATTCTTCTAACATGATTTTAATAAATAAATTACTTTGACAACATAAATTATCACTATGGAATATAATTACCTGAGAATAATTACATTTCCACTCATGTAGTCTACAGTACCTGAAGATAGATGCCACTTTGCTTATCCAACTTTTGTAGAAAAATCCTTTATTCTCTCACAAAATACAGATAAATTATATTACCAATTTTTATAAGGAAGAGGAGATTGTACAAGAATGAATATAAGTGGCTTAAAATTAATACTGGTGTATGCTAATGTTATGTGCTGTCATGATAAATGTTCAATATGGTTGTCAGTTTCTGCTGGGTGAGACAGACTTGGTCAGTATGGGCAGCAGTTGAGTAATAGCCATGATTGAAAGCTGATGTGTTGTTGGCCGAGTTGGATAACGAATGACTGTCACACCATTGTAGTGAACCTTGTATATTTGGGGATAACTGTGTATATTTGGGGATAACTGTGTATATTTGGGGATAACTGTGTATATTTGGGGACAACTGTGTATATTTGGGGACAACTGTGTATATTTGGGGACAACTGTGTATATTTGGGGACAACTGTGTATATTTGGGGACAACTGTGTATATTTGGGGACAACTGTGTATATTTGGGGACAACTGTGTTTATTTCTAACCAACTTTAACCTCTTCCCATGAACAAGCTACAATAAACAATCCTAATGAGGTGAAAATATCCCTGGGAAAAAAAAAATTACATTAATTCCTCTGACAGTAAATATATTTTTAAGTTTACCTCGGTTAATCTCGATACATATATGTAGTTATTTAATCTCATAAGTCACAGTAATTAGTTCTACTTGTTTACTTATATATATATTAATTTACTGTCCCATTGAACTCTTGTTAAATTTTATGATCTGCCCAAACAGGTCAGCAATGGTTTTGTTTTTCATACCTCGCTGCTAGATGATACAGGTATTATTTAACATAGTCTAATAGATAAATAGATATATAATATAGGTGCACTCTCGCTCCAAAAAGTATCTCTACAATTTTGTGTGAGACAATATGACACAATGGATGAAGGATTTTGACAACCCTACCGAGACAACAGGAGTCACAGTGTTCATTCTGAAATTCATCGTTTACTTCCATAATGATACCTTTTTGAAGCGAGTGTTATATTTAATTTGAATTTGGCAAATACTTTGTTTATCATAAATACTTACATAACACACTACACTACAGTAACTGAAATGTGTAAATACATTAATATTCTAAAGTGCAAAATCTAAGACAATTTTTTATAATTTCAATGCATAAGTTTAAGGCACTTTTTATTCTTTATTTTTCAAAGATATGCTACAAACTACATCTCATAAATGTAAGAGATCACCTGAAGAATCTCCACCCCAGCTTATCTTACCTAAAGATTGACCAACCTGACACCATTTGGGAGGATAAGGTCAAGTTAAGTTAGGTTAGCATTAGGTTACATTAAAGTTAAGTTGGATTCGGTTAAGTGACGGTGTTTAATCTTTAGATGAAATATGCTGGGGTGGAGATTCTTCAGGTGATCCAATAAAAGTCTTCAACAAAAACTCAACTATTATGTATAAATAAAAAATAAAAGGCTCTAAGTACATTGTTTAGCATGAAGGACAAATACAATAAATAAACTTAACTACCAATTTTTCTGTCATGATGTACAAATGTGAGAGATTCAAGAGTAATGAAGACCTTTCCCAAGAAGTAATTTATTACATGTAAGTCAACTCTTGAGATAATGTTGCCTCTACTCTTTAAAATATACGGAAAATCATCAACTATGGCAGAAAATTAATAACAAAGATAAGTTTTAATAAGTTATAACCTGAGAAGAAGAAATATTCAACAAGATATTAATCCTCACACATAAACTAGTGACTATGTACACATCGTCCCTATATACTTCACAGACTATGGTACCTACTTTGCATTTTGGAAAGATATAGAAATTAATGTGACAATATAAAAATTAAAAACCGATCAATTGATAAACGCATAATGTCGGTTCCGAAGGTGTGCGAACCTGTGATATTTAAAGACATACTGTACTGTACTTCACCCATAGGAAGAGTTTGGTGTCTGCCTCGTTTACTTTTCCTGTGGGCTATGGGTGGGTGAGGAAGGTTCCATTACACTTGCTAAATGCATGATAATTTTGACACTGGTATGATAATGATTATTGCTTCACATATAGAATATAACAAAATAATATACTGTGCTGTATTTCATAATTAATATTCACCCCAGCACATTTCTATTAAGCAAAAACTAACATGGTAGAATAGTCTTTAATATATCTTAATAGTTTGTTAAATTTGTGTATAATCTCCAAGGCATCAACACTAACTTCATATTTCATTTTAAAAGTTTACATGTACAGTACAGTACAGTGAGGTGTTTTATGTATGCTGGGAGGGAGCCCAAGCACCAGCACCTACCATAAATGTACACCTTTGGTATATATTAAACTATTGTATAACATTTAGAGTTGACATCTACCCCTTAAACATGGACAGTTTGGGTAATCCAAAACTTCAATTAATGGGATGGAATGCTATTACTGTGTACAGTAGGCTGAAAGTTACAGAGAACCAGTAATAAATATACACCAAAAAAGGTTATACACAGTGTCAGTGTTATTGATATGTTTGGTTCACACTTTATGTGGTTGTTTGGTGGGTTTGTATACAAGTACTTTTTGTCAAGGACAATGATCTTGTGTCTCATGAAAGATTAGGAAAGAGACAAATTTCCTAAAGATGACACTGTACTGTTTTACTGTGCAGAGACAAAACTCAGGTCAACACTAAATCTAAATATCTTCTACCATCAAATATATACAACTGTTACAATGACCATTATAAAATCCATCGTAGAGAAAAATAATGTGTGTGTGGTGACAGCCCAAACACCTCCTGACCATCCAGCTGCTAAGCGAGATAATGTACTGTACAGTCAGCCAACCACTCCACCGCTGCCACAACTCTGGACATGGTTGGGACTAGTTACATCAAAATAATATTAAGTAAACTGTAATACATCTTTTTGTACATTTTCCTGAAGCATGAAGTAATGAAATGGTAAAACAAATTTAACATTGAGACTTAGGTCAAGATTTACTAGCATGAATTACTGTCATTATTCCACATATGGCAGCCATTAAGCCTGAAGACTCTATAATGTAAAAGAGCCAAGTCACCATGAAGGTGTAAACCTGGGCCATTCTTTGTGAAGTCCCGCACTTAGTCAGATGTTGTTAACTATTTAATACTACTGGAATGAAAACCAAAAAATATGAACCATTAATGTAACAATAAAATAAGTTATTATCCTTCTTAACAATGAATAACTTTATATAACAAATACAGTTACATTATTACAGTACAGTGTGAGTGTATAAGTAACAAATGAAAAAGTTTGAACCCAGCTATTCATATACAATAATGTATAAATAATTCAAAATAAAGCTTAAATAGTCTGTTTCCCTTCTGTCTGTTAGTATACATATAGATATATATATGTGTGTGTGTGTGTGTGTAAAAAGTCATAAATATAAATATATATACATACACATCTATGTATACACATAGCCTTATAAAATGCAGGAAATGTATCCAAAGTTCTAACCCAACTATGGAGAAATTTCTTACCTGTGGCTTCATTTACCCCAATTATATTCACATACCTTAGGCATCCTGTGTGTTGTGCTTGTCCTAAGTAAACACACTCACAATAAGTACACTATACAGTTTCCTACAGCTACTGGGCATTAATTTCTTCTTCTTTTCTTTCTTTATTTACCCAGCTCACACTTCGTTCCAGTATGAAAATCACCGTAAAGCACCACTCGGGGTTACCACTTTATTGGCCCTGAGTCATTTTACCAATATATACATTAGTAATCCATCAAAGTTCAATATGGTTTCTATTGAAGTGGAAATATAACAAATATACCTGTCAGTTCTCTTATGCTGTGATATCAATCAATTCAAAACTATTCTATATTAACAAAATATCTTATCCACCGGGACAACCAAGATGAGGAGTTGTGACGTAATCAACTACCACTTACTTTTACTACACCTGTAAGTGTACTGATTTGTAGCAAGTGTCAAAACTCCCAGGCAAAAATGTGTCGATAATTACAGTGCCTAGAGTCCAGAAGAAGTTCCACCTCCTATAATTACATAGTGAGAGAGGCAATACCCTCACTTGGTATACACACCACCTGACTTAACGACCCATTAACGATATGGATCAAAATGATAGGTCACATAGATATAATTAGCACCTCATCATCCTTACTGATGAGGCCAGACTAACACGTTACCAACATCTGCACCACTATGTAATTAACTACAATTTTCAACCAATTAATACTTGAAGACCATAATTTGTATATATTTTTAAAGTCCTATTAAATATTTAATGACTTGTGACGACAGGTGTGTTCAGTAAACATAAAATAGTGACTTCATTATTCAACCAAATAAATGAAGTATTACTCTGCATCAGTGTCGCTAAGGTCATCGAAGCTAACTTAAATCCTGAACTTTTTACCCACCTAAACTTGTCAATTGAATACTGTACAGTTTTATATTTCCTAAATTTATATAATATTTTTATTTTGGAGGCAATGAAGCCATAGTTACGTTAGGTTAGGTTATGTTTATACTGAAATAGTGATGAATTGCCTTAGAACTGAACCTCCCCCTCCCACAGTTAATCTTTAAAAAAAAAAACACTCAAGCTGGCTGACACCACCTGCCTCAGTCATGTTCTCACAACCTCTGCTTTCACCTCTTATTTCCTCCATTATTTTAGAAAATATCTAAATCATAATAAATTTTTGAGTTAGGTAAAAGCATAATGAAGAGACCTGTATTAAAAGGAGATGCAAATAAAGACTGTCTCATATAACTTAGTGAATATAAGTGGGATCAGAGTATACCTGTTTCTTACCAGCAAGCTTTCCACCTGTCTCAAGTTGATGAGTGAGCAGTTTTAATTTGGAGCATATACTGTATATGTCAAATACTACATCACAGAGAATATTTTAAACTGAAATAGTTGTGTTTTGTTATAAAAATATAATGAAACAATACATTCTTGCATACCTTTAAGAGCGAGTGTTTGTACATCCTTGAGTCAGCGTGTGTATACGTCTACACACTTACTAAGTGTTGATACTTGTGTATGCGTATTTGTGTTCATTTTCAAGTACATGTGTTTGTATGCATGATTATCATACTTGCAAGTTATCTAAAACAACACAAACCCTCAGGACTATGAAACTGTTTTATCTCAGGGGACACTTGGTACTACTGTATTATACTGTACTGTACCAAGAGGTTAATATAATGCTCAACAATGCCTGGGTCACAAGTTTAGACGGATAAAACTAACAGCTATATCGTGAACTTGCAAGACACGAATCCTAACCCAAATAAGCACTAAGGGGAAAGTTCTATTCATGTGATTTAGTGATATGATTTGGCACTACAAGTACTTTTAGGAACTTATCACTTAAAACACATCTCTCCATAAAAAATAAATTAAAAGACACAAATTACGAATGGAAAAATCTATGACCAAAAATAGTTGGAAATAAGTATTTATATAACAAACACCACATACTCACAGCAAGAAATGAACCAAGTGTCTTTTCTAAGATGGTATGGTAATAAATCATTGTTACTAAGAGCATTGCATCCCACAGCAGAGACAGAAGGAAAATACACAGAAAGCTGAAAATTACCAGAGGGGCAACTATGGTAAATCTTGTACGCAGGCTCTTTGACAGTTTTCCGCCACGTTTTGGCCAAATGATCTTCTCCGGCGTGTTTATAGACACCCCGCGTAAGTACCCTCCGAGACACAGGAAGTAGAGGATCTCCTTACTCTCCTCCATCATGACGAGGACACAGAACGTCAGGAGGTATATATGACCGGAGATGTCAAGGGCAGTGTACACGTGTCCCTCTTGTCTATTGCACTCTTTCTTGGGTAAATTAATTTTGATATTTTTATATGTGCAAGACTCTGTGTACTTCTCAATCTCGTTAAAGATCACCTGTAAGAGTGAAAATTAATTAAGATATTTTTGACCCACATTATTAGTATACAGTATGTAGGTATAACCTTCCATACACATACAATATGACACACACAACTATCCAAGAATGTGAGAAGTTTGTCTTACTGCCAACTGCATATTTTTTCTATCCATAATTCATTCTTAAAGAGTATTAGTGAACATAATGTGTTTGTAGGCATTTATCATCAATATAAGAGGTGTATACATATAATATACAGTGAAACTCATAAATTATACTCAATGGTATCTTTGGATTAGGGAACTTCTCACAAGACCCTCCTTGAAACAAGTACCTGACAGCTTTATGAACTGTCCTTAGTCAAGTTGCCTTACTCTTTACCACTGTTGTACACCTGAAGTGTCTCGGCACACAGGAAACTGTATAGGTACTCCCACAGCCTACGTACACCATATACCTACATTGCCTATATTCATTCTGAACTGTATAACTGCATATAGTAATTTATATTAATGCCTATCTGATTGTAAACCTGTATGATAATTTTCCTGAAAGAATATTATTATTATTATTATAGGTAGAATAAAAGAGACTCCCAATAATGACTTACCACACACCATATGTAGAAGAAGAATGTAGTGGTAATGGCCCGGACAACAAACTGCTTAAGTCTGGCCTTCCATTCGATGAGCAGGGTGATGGAGGTCAGTTGATGCAGGATGAGCGTGGAGACCGTAAAAGCCCAACCTTTCTTCACAAATATCTGTTAATAATAAAATACAAACAATATTGAGAACTAGTGCAAAATTTACTACATTTTCTCACAATATCTACATCCATTCAGTTTTTTATCGAGTCAATGTAAATTTGTCGATGATAAACATGTACTGTAGATGGTTTATGGGAAGGAACATATTACAGTAGTTTTTTTATTATCTTTTTCTTACCCATTTAGAAAACAAATAAGGTAAAAAATGCAAACATTCCGAGCCTCACCCTGGTCAAAGTTAAGAACAAATTATGACTCACCCTGTTAAAGAAGCTGTATTTCCCCGTAATCGTCTCCACGTGCGGCACTTCGACCGTCTCTTTAATCATGGACAGGGCGACGAGGGTGAAGAAATAATAGCCGATCTTAACAGCGGAAGGAATGTGCAGGTAGTAGGTGCCCCAAGACGCCAGGAGCTCCCATACTGACGGTGAGACAACTGGCATTATCTCTTCTGCTTCTTCTGGCGACTCTGTGAAAAAGATAAATAATTGATTAATAGTAAAATCTCGACTAACATCAATGAAATACCTTGGGCTAACTTTTAACTCTGGCTTATGAGGAGAATTAATTGAAGATAATATAGTAAATAACTGTACAGACACGATAGAGTTTATTTAATGAAAGCAATCCGTCGGCCTCGGACAGTCCCGGCGCAATGTAGTGCTTGTTACTGTATATCTATCAACATAATTTCACTGATTAATAACCAAGCCTAGCAAGGGAAGCTACTAAAATAAAGTAACTATATATCAGAACCTACATGCCTTCATCATCTATGTACATTGTATACGTATATCGTCTACTGTACTGTACATCCCAAACCAACTGTAAACTTGGGTGATGATTTTACAGAATAAATATCAATCAATCCACATATTTAACTAAGATGGCTTAAATATAAATCATGGCACTGTAACTTATCAAATATTTACAAAAAATTTAAACATGTCTTTTTCATATTTCTTTGCAAAAATTACTCAGACCCGCAAAGCTAAAATACCTCCATCATAGTTCCGTACATACCAACATTTTCAATACATCCGTTGGTGGTTTCAGCATTGTTCATTTTCCTGCTTCTTAAGGAATCCCTGGATGTAACAGATGAGAAATAACTGTAAAGAGATTAAAAAATAAAACACACGATTTTTTTTAATACAATGAGTTGCCATTCTAATAAATTGTGTTATTTTATGCGATTTTTTTTAATGGGTACCGGGTATACTGTATATGTATCCCACTAAGATGCTAAAGTGACAATATCTGTTTGTTTTTACATTAATGGTATTGTTTAGGATACTTCATAGTGAATAACGTGTGGTAGTGGAATGATTAATGCTTTGGAAAAAAAAATACAAATATTTCTGTGTTATCTAAACTGCAAATTCTTGTCACTATGGTATTTCCTCAAGGTAAGAAAACATTTAACTTCAACACGAGAATTTCATAAGTTACTGGTTAACCTGCAATACTGTCGCCAATTATTGTTTTATCTTCTATAGAAAATTTGACTAATGTTGGTGGTTAAAGCCCAACAATGTTACAGAGTGGTAATACTGCAAGAGAATACCATACATTAACCAGAGATGTGATGTCATAGGGTAGGATTTCCAGGCGGTAAGAAATCATTTATCTTCTACTTTTACCCCCAGACAAAAACCTGAAGAGGATATGTAATATTCCTCCACCAGGGTTGATTTAAAGGGTAATATTTGATGAGAGTGGTTTTGCCTAAGCAGTTCACTAACAAAATGTATCTATAGAATATAAAAGCTTTATCTCGAGAAAATTACATAAAAATCAAGGAGAATGTGTCTTGAAGATATCGGTTTTAACATGTGAAATATGCAAACACGACCTTCCCACCAGTGCCATGTTTAGACTGTAAGAATGGTGCTTTTCACAGACAGAAATTCTATCCTATGTCATTAGAATAAAACAGTTAATAACTGTAGTATTTTAGGATAGGATAAGTCTGGCAGGTTAGTTTTCTTCATTAACTACACCAATTCCATGTTGCTCAGCCGGTGTTGTACTGAACACAAACACACAACAGTAAATAACTCATCACTGAAGCTTACTACCTCTTACACTTCACACTGACATAAATTAAACATAACTTATGAGTAATGGGTATTTCCAAAAAAATTATTAACGACAAAATAACCCTAATTAACTATGGTTCATCCAGTTTATCTGACTTTACCTAAATTCACTCTTCACCTCACTCTTACAACAAGATTCTAAAGTATCCTCAGTCACATTACCTCATTGTGGACGGTTTAATGCTGGAACTATGTGATGTCGACACGTACAGTTAGCGGAGCGGTAATCCCCTCACCACCACGACTCTCACGCACTGACTGAGATGTGACGATCAGCTGAGTTTTGTTGTTGTCGTTCCGAGATTAAATCCAGGAACGCCAATGACCAAGTCGGATTTGTGCGGATTTATTATAATTTTTTTTGTATGCGAACGCCTCATATCTTTATTATTTGTATGACTATATATTTATTTTACACATAGACTACTTGTTAAACTATTTATTTTTGTTCTAATTTCAAAAGTTGTGCAAGACTCTTCAATGACTCACTTGCATTAGCCAAATAATTTAACCGATTATATCATTCTTATATAACAATTGTCAATTAATCAAATGAACAGATGTTAATATTCTGTTATCAATTTAGAATACAATATGTGATTTTTAAGTTACTTGCTAAATAAATGATAACAAATATTTGATGATATTGTTTAAAAATCTCACTTTAACTGTATTTAAAGAATTGCATAATCAAATGTTATGCAATATTTCAATAGGTGCCACAAATATATAATAAACATTACTAATTTAAAACGTGTTTAAGGCTTACTTGGCAATTTTTCTTTTATCAGTTCACTACAGTAAATTCACAAAACCACTGGAATTATATCTCCTTGCTTGAATAATCTAACATGGAGAATATATATCAGTGTGTGCCAAGACTGAAGACAAGGAATGTAATGGCATCCTCAAGCTCTCCCCTTCCTGTGTGTGTGTGCAGAATTAGACATTTGGCTTGAACAATTATTTAACATTTCTATATACAGTACACACATATGCCCTCAATACTGTACATGAGTCTGTGACATTCACCTGTTGACTGATAACATCCTTATCTCCAGTATTTGATCACCTTAGCTTATCTCATAAAAAATTATGGATATACACGGTTTAATATGATGGCAATTGACTCAGTACAGATCTAACATGTTTCTCTGTGACTTATACAACATAAGAACCAAACCCTGACTTACAAGTACAGTATTGATTCTTGGGGATGAACCATAGTTTATTATCACACATACAATGGAAGCTACTCAATGGGTTGGGGTAGCAAGAATGGTTGCCCCACCTGATAAGTCAAAGAGCAGGAAGTCTTTACCCAAGCATCATGGAACATCAGAATTAACTATGCAAACACAACCTAACCTAACTATTTAACTTGCTTCATAGTAGGAAGATAAGTCATAATTATATATACAGTAGATACATATTTTTAGTTCTTGTTTCATCCAAGGAAAAAGTTAATCACACAAACAGTAATTCTTAAACATATATTTTTCAACATAAAGCCCAAAGGAGCCAAAAACAACTTAATAGTCTTAATATATCAATCATAAATCAAAATATAAAAGCAAATACTATAGTGAATCATCTATATGACGGACTTCTCACTCCATACAGTCCATTACTTGTGGGGGGGGTCACATTTAATGGACCCTCGATATAATGGACTTTCCTCTTCATTTCGTCCGTTAAATAAAGGTTTCACCGTATATGTGAAAATTAATAAAATTTTAATATGGTTTTACTTGTCTAAACATCCAAGATAAAAAAGACACTCTACAAGAGGCCACAAAGGTAGAAAAATCATAGCAAAGATAAACCATTAGGCGGGTGTACCATACAACACAATCCACAAAAGACCGGTATAGTGGTATTGAAAATATTCCTTATTAATAACATACCTTCCCTTGGCATAGAGCTCCCCCAGGTTGACAACGACAATCACATATGACAGTAGATGACATGAACTAACCTAACCTAATCTAACCTGAAAATAATTTAAGTTCATTACGCTCGGTTGTGTTAGCTTGTGTCGTCTCCAGTCATGAATGTGGTTGTGTCGGAGCCTCCCGAGGGAATTCTGTACTTGACCTATGGAAAGTAAACCTCGACTGCATTTGTTCGCTGAATGATAATGACAAATGATTCTGTTATGCCTTAAGATCTAAACTTTAGATATATACTGTATGGTTTACTAAATAGGGCACATGTTAGGCTAACCAAAATTTTCTCTTTGTTCACATTACAAAGATAAGAAATAAGGAGTTTGAAAAGAAAGTGATGTGAATTAATTTCAAAAGCAAAAAACACCAAACCTCTTCAAGTTCAAGTCATTAACAGGAATACATATTAGGTATTAAAATTACTTAGCATTATAAACGAATTTGGTTATAGAATGTTTTCATTTAGACTCAAACGATTAACTTTTACAGTAATCACAATAGTTCTTATTATGTAAGATGGCATGTACAGTACAGTGTTATTATATTGAGCCATTAATTATTAAAACTTGAGCTAAGAAACTGAATAGACTTCCCAACAATTATGACCTAGAGCAGAAAATATGACGTATTAACCAGCTGCAGGTCATAAGATGTTCTAACATTATCTGCCAGGTGTAAACAACCTTCCTTCAGTAGTACGTGTCTCTATATAACCACAACATAACAAGAAGGTGCAGCAATCACCAACCGGCATTTTACAGCACTGAATAATATTGATATAATTACAAAACACAGGAAGGTGACTAAGATATCCTGTTGTAGCAGCACTGTTAGGGTCTTGTGTCTAAAACCTTCTCGTCTGATGTGGCTCAACAAAGAGTTAGCAAGTGTTAAGGACTCTGAGCCAAGCACCATTTGCAGTTAAAATCATTACTTTAATTCTAAAAATTCTCCAGTTATCATTATCAAAATTGACACTTCTAGCACTGAGCAAATGGCTTACCTATTCATAAACAAATCAATATATCATACATTTAATGAGGGTAATTAACAAGAGAGCATCAGTGACACTAAAGAAAAACAAATGAAATACAACGTCCATCTTCCACTAGTGACTTCTTTGACTGACAACCATTATAAAAGTACATCATTTATCTTACGGTACATTACCCAGTTTTCTAACCTGCAACAGTAAATATAGTATAAAATAGAACACTCAAATTATATTTTCTGCAGATCTCTGGAATGGTTTAAAGGTTCAACAAATGACCAAAGTAAATAATAAATTGCCCTTCCATTTATTTTCTTCACAACAATTACTTCCTTCACAGCTATAATAACCCTCAAAGTTCTGTAGTTTACATCTCATAAGGAATTTGTGCAACCACTAAAATTCACTCAATTGTATGGTATGTTGTCTTAACTAAAGAAGTTGTAATCTGCATATTAAAGCATGTACAGACCTTGGTAAATTATCATCAATACATCACACAGAGAAGTTAAGTTCATAAAATTCATCTTTCACACATGAGATGCTGGGTGATGGAAGAGATACAAGGGGTCGTCTGCCTCCTGCCCTGGGAACCTCTAATGATTTGACTGATAGCCGTATTTACCACTAGCATTGTTATTACCACTCAGAACTGAAAAGATAAAAACCACGTATTAAATATATTTCAAATTATATTTTCTTGAGGATGGGGCAGTACAGTTAATATTGAATATATAATAATGTGAGGAAAAAGTCAAATAAATATTGATTTCTTTGCACCACATATGAACTCAAAGTAAGACTGTCCTTAATTACTAACAATGGGACTTCCTTATCATTATCACATTTTTTCAAAAGTTTTCACACTATTGAGACAAGACCTTGGTCACAATGGCTATAGTCTGGCGAGTTAAGCTTTCAGGTAAGAGGAACAAAAATAATCACATCACAAAAGTTCTTACCCTTTTTAAGTACTCCATGGCACATTCTCTGGCTCGTGCGTTTACTGCCAACTTCATCTCCGAAATTTCCTTGTCGATCTCTTCCATAAAGTGAATGACGAAATCTACCAGTTTGTGTTTGAACATCTGCTCTGTGTGGAAGTTGGTGATGAGGAACGATATGTCGTAGCTCTGTGAGGTAAGATTAGGGCATTAGTCATCATCTAGTGTTGATACTGTTACCTGTTTCCATATAACAATCACAAGGCCTTAATATTCATAGTAAAAGAAGAATCAAGCCTTTCACACTCCCAGTCCCTTCCCCACCATGGTGCAGTATGGCTGGCATCAAGAGCAGCCCTAACCCACGTATTAATTCTACCTGGCTTACTACTGCATATAAAGTACTTTGAGCAAGAAGTAGACATGCATAATAAATAAATAAATTAACAAATAAATAAACTTAGGGATAGTCCAGACATATAAAATAGAATACTGTAATTCAATAATATTCCAATCAGTCACTTAACATTATAGATAAAATTTCAAGCATAAAAGCCCCTTCCTGAGATAAACTTTCAGGTACAGTATAATAAGAACCCTTTCCTGCATTGGTGCCATCTTGATTAAACCATAAACCTCTACTCTGTTTAAGCATAATGAAGCCCAAAAAACAATACAGGGTGACAATATTCTCAAATTCACCAAAAAAAAAAATAAAATTCAACCAACCTCGACGGGTTTTCTCCGGAGAATGATGAAATTTTCAGCCCTCATCATCATAAATCTGCAAGGTAAACACTAATGTTAGATGCATAAGCACTAATTGTCAGTTGTGTAAACATTAATGTCAGATATTGTGGTACTTTAAGCAATAAATATTTTGTCTACAGTCTTCATTGCTTATCCAACCTTATTCATTTATTCAAACTACACGTGCACACATATCACACAACACACACACACACACCACAACACATACACACAACACAATAATCACCTCATAAACTTGTGACAAAGGATACGCTCAATATCATCCGCTTGTTTAATAGAGATTGAGATCCTAATGGAGTTGATGGACGGTTCTATGAGCACTTTCTCTTTCTCATTTCGACTAACCACAACAGCAGTCATCAAAAGCTCCTTACTGGATCTGTGGGTTGAAAGGTATATAAGTCAAATGCTGGTCCTGATAACTCCCACAACTTAAATATACTCACATTACAGGTAGAAACATGACTGTAAAGTGACTGAAGTAATGAGAGGCTATAAGTAATAAATCTACTTATAAAAAAAAGGAACAGTATAAAGAATCTAGGAAAATATTGAAAGAAAAAAGCAGTAGGTTTAATTTACTTTAGTTTCATCTTGTTCTCCATTACATCTGGATTCTATGCATTAAACAGTTGTCATTACAATAAATTAGCACACAGTGGATGAACTAAAGTGGACAATTACCCAACAGTAGATAATTTGATTGACACTTACCTAACCTCTACTTCAGGCTTATTGTGTCTTTCTACCACTTGTGAGTTGAAATTCTGGAGACACATCGCAGCTGAGAGTGTGTGTCGGACTGCGTTCAGGTAAGGACGTAAGGTGGCAGACTGAAAAACACAAATTGAAATCATTCATTCAGACAAAATACAGTTATCCCTGACTATACCAATGTTCACTATACAAAAATTGGCTTACAGTGAAATCTCTATATAATGAACTTCCTTCTTCATATAATCAGTAAGATGAGGGGTGTCACATCAAACAGACCCTCGATATAATGGACTTTTGTCTCTATATAGTTCGTTAGATGGAGGTTTCATATCTAACAGACCCTCGATATAATGGACTTTTGTCTCTATATAGTTCGTTAGATGGAGGTTTTACTTTATCCGAAACTTTTAATCTTAAACCTCTTCCTCACCCAGGGTTAGGTTAGGTAGGTTAGATTAAATTAAATTAAATTAGAATAGATGAGATTTGGTTAGATTAGGTTTAGTGGGTTTATTTTGTTGTTTTAAAAGATATACAGTAAACCTAAAATGCCATAAGCAAAAAACAGGAAAATTAAAATACATAAATTATAATTCCTGGGGTAGACATGAGCCAATTTTGCCTTAAAGTGTCCAGTGTGGTGCTGACTGCCATAACTGTGAAGATAAACTTGTTTGGTTTTGATGCAGAGACAAACTCATAGGTAAGATAATGTTGGGTCAGGTTTTCTTAGGATTGGTTAGGTCAGTTTGTTGTGTTTTTTACCCTACAAATTCCCTCGACTTCAAAGCCCTGCCAACTTTATGAAATCAAAAGTCATAGATAGTAAGGGTGGGTCATTCTTTTACATCACCATCAATTTACAAAAGACAGACCTTGTAAAACATAATGTACACACGTTTGAAAGACATGTGAAAAAAAAATATAGATACGGTATATAGCAACATTCCTCATTCTTTTACCACAGCAGTACTTAAATTGATAAGAGCTTCATTGCACTAAAAAAGCATATAATAAATATTCAATACTGTAAATAAGGTTATATTGTAGAGTTTTAGGGTAATATTTAGTGGTTATGGAGGGAAACAACTGGGGCACCACACCTGGGAGGAGTGAACACCCCTGTGATTCATACCAGCCTCGACCTTTCAAACTACAACCACAGCCACAGTTAACAGTCTAGCCGTTAACATACACCTCTATTTCAATCACCTACCATTAAACTTCCACTTAACTTACCATAATTGGTGAATATTATTGGTAGAAGAGAAGGAGTGTCAATCAAACAAGGGTTAAATGTAGTTAGCTTCCTGTCACTTATCTCGGGTACACCCGGTCTGTCCGATTCCCGACTCTGACTTAAGCCTCGTAATAACCAACCACTTTAACAAATTATAAACACAATATTGATTTTGTCACTGTATAATCTTATTTATATTTAATATTAATACTGAATAATTAACACATATATTTTTTCTGAATATTATTAGTGTGGGTAAATATCTGAATTAATATGGTATATATAAAAAATTATTTATACCCGAACACGTTGTGCAGTTGTTTACATGACTACTTTTGCAAATTTATGGCCAAATTTCATAAAACTTTAGTCAATAATAATTAATTTTATATTTTCTCTCTAATTTAAAGTTAATTAAACTTTGTACACTTTTGATTAGAATATTAAGAAGTGAAGTAGTCGCTGGTAGTTATATCAGCCGGGTGAAAAAAAAATACATGAAATGAAAAATGATAAATAAAGAGATGACACACACTCCAAGGACAGCCACACTCATGTTTATATTTGTTATTCCCTCGTTAGATACATAACTTAACCTTTAGTATAATAATGCTGAATTATGTTATTTGACCATTATATTTATCATCATATATTATACAGGCATTCAAGAGTAATTACAACACCTGAACCTGGCAACAAAGTATTGCATCTACAAATTCATACCTTAACATTTACTAATGGGTCATGGTACATTTTCTTATGATTAATAAGAAAAAAAAAAAAACTTACATCACAAGCTCCATATATTATTCTGCAGGAAATCTTTGAAGTTCACTGGATCATTCTCAAGATATTTTTTCCTTAATGTATCAACAAATTTGCCTTGTATTGCCTAAGATTTAAAGATGATTACCTTCAATAATTGCACCAAACACACATATCCACCTACACGCTTCCCATGGCTGGGACGGCAAGGCAATATCCAACAACCCAATTCCTCTCGCTCGCATTTTCCTGGGAGACATAAACACAGTACAGTAATGTTATAGGATAGAGAAAGAATTCGTTATATAAATGTATAATTTTTTTCTTTAACCGTAACATGTTCATCACTTCTTTAAACAGCATTTCAATGACATAAAAATGACCTGATCACTCAAGCTAAATGTTTAGTCTGGAGCAGAGAATATTACAATTACTAATACAGTACAGTCGGGGTCAAAAGATCACTCCCTCAGCATCGACCCTAAACGAGATATAACAGTTAGGATAAGTCAGTTCGGAGACTCATTCCAGTGATGCAATTTCACCGCTGCGAATGAACGTTTGTCCGCGATTGTACATAACCCTTCCTTTACTGCAAACTAAGGTGTAGTGTTAATGCAGTGTTGTGTGTGGCTGCACGTACAGTCCTTCACTTATGGTTGTGGTAAAGAATGGGTTAAAAAATTCTTATATTTTCAGAGATTCTCCACGACACAGAGTAACAAAAGGCCGTAGAAAAGATGTTTAGTAAAAATTATGATTCATAGATTTTTTTACACACACAATACAATAAGATGACTATAAACTTCTCACAAGCACAAATAAAATAACTGATATCTAAAGGTAAATATCCACTTCATTCTTATCTAAATACATTATTAAACACCTTTATAAGCAACGAGTCACAAAAACGGTCAAAATCGATACATGATCAAACAGCAGCATATAGTTTCCTTTAACCTTACACAAAAGTTAGTATATCTAAGACTTCATTACAATATACACAAGGTATGTGCACTGACCAGGGAAGACCTCACAGCAGTAATGTAAAATTAATTCAATGCATAAAACAGGAACTATCAAGATGAGAGAAAAACTGCACTCCTTTAAATTCTATTCCACATATCTATAGTAATATTATCCTTTAATATTTTTCATTAACTCATGTATGTATGTGTGAGTTTAACAGCCATAGTCTTAAACTGCGGGAAGGCGTTGCCCATGCCTGTCCCTGGGTATCTTATAGTCTTGATACACAAAGGTTACAAAGAGTGGTTTTGATTAAGTGAGGGTGACCACGCCTTTGAGATTTCTTTGTTAAATTACACTCTGTACATGTTGTTAAATTTTCATGTATAAAAAAGTGTAGTACAGTACAGTATATCATTAATTGTTGAAGTAATGTTTTGGAAATAAGAACGTCAATATCCACGACCAATTGAAAACTGTTTCATGTCCTCATCACTTGATGGCCAGAACAACAATGCTAACTCACAGATAAAACACTTCTTTCTCTTCATAGATGATGTTATGTATTGCTATACACTAGCCACTGGTAAAGCATAGCATAGACAATCACCATAATAGAGCATAGACCAAAAAAATTCAATATGGTTCTCATGACTTTGAACAAACAATAACTAACAAGGCCATTTCATTAAATTGAATTTCATTGGTTTTATTACATGTTTTATTCCCATATACTGTATTTACAATTATGATTGGCTCAAACATGGCCAGTCACTACTGTAGAAGAAAGAATTTCTGTAGGCTGAAATAGTGTTATGTAGAGGAAAACAGTATTAAAGCCACAAATTTTAACACTATACAATTCAAGATCAGAGTTTTGTAACAAATTACCAAGTGGTTTTTATTGTCAATACAGAGAACCTTGGGTAGAGGTACATTTAAGCGACTTCTCCATTGCCTTTATATATACAGGATAAATTATTTATTAAAGTGAATTACACAGAGCTAATCTACTGATAATATTTTATGTATTAATTTCTAGCTGACAAACTTCATCACCCCGATAGTAAGACAACCGATGAGGATGAGAGAAATTGTTAGGTAATGTAGATACTGCACGTGTTGCTGGCCAGTGTGTGGTGTGTTGGTGTATCATTACTGTGAACATAGACGTGGAGAAACTGAGGTTATTGAAATGAAACTGAAAATTTTTACGCATATAAATTACAAAACAGCGATTGACTACTTAAGTTAATTTAGTGATTTAATTTTGATGCTGCAGTTGATGAAGTGATGAGTAGGGACAATTCCACTGCTTGCCCATTTGAAAGGGCAAGCATTCCCTCAGCTAAGCATACCACTCAGAGTGTGGGTGGCTGCTCACACTTTGCATGGGGGAGAGACAACCCTTTCCTACAGTTTGAAGACTACAGCTATAAGTGTGTGTGTATGGTTGTATCAATGTATATACACACACACACACACACCAGTAAATACATAATAACACAAGGTAATTCACTTGCAGGTAGACCCAGAATTTCACTAATACAGTGACTGTTACAAGACAATAAACAAGAGAGAGAGAGATAGTGAGACAGAGGGAGAGAAACAGAGAGAGACAGAGAGGGAGGGAGAGACAGAAACACTTGCAAAAATAACACCAAAGCCTTCACTGAAAACACGTAAAAACTAATACACCATAAATAACTAACATTAATTATACTGTGGGGTTACCAGCGAGTAATTAACCCTGTACTGTCATCAGGTCAATACAGTCTTCAATAATTCAACACCAAGACAAAATAATCTGAAATTTATCTACATCATCATCTAATATATATTTCTGCTGGTTTTCACTTAAATTCAATATAAAAGTAAAGTGTAGTTGTAAATAATAATCAAGTGTTACAGTATATTATCATTAGTGAGTTTCAATGATGTTTCACCCTCTTAAGGTGTCATATGAGTAAAGACATACACTGCATCTGGTTACTTCATTAATACCAGTAATCTATTTCTCTTATTAAAAGAAAAGTATACTGTACATCTAAATTATATTCAACAAATATGCTGAAACAAAATGAGTAATAATTCAATGGGTATGGAAAAAAAGTTATCTAAACTTGAGAATATGTAAATAGTTCCTATCATAAATTGGGAACAGTGTGTACCGACTAATTTGAATACAAGTTGTGACGAGCTTAAAATGAGGACAACAAGTGTTTACAAAAAGTCCCCATAAGGTAATCATCAGTACTGTAGGAGAGGAGATATTTAAGGTAGTAGTATGCCAGAAAACGGTTGCATCCGTAGGTAAATGGGCTAAGGTGCGTGAGGAGTAAAGCGCGGAAAGCTATCCTTTATATCTCCCACAAATGTTGCACCAGTGAGTGAGTATGTGTGTGCTTAAAAGATATTGAGTACAGTACCTATAACCCTTACTGCTACTCAGGGAGTCTTATACCTCATGAAGCATATTTTCACAGAGTTCAGTTAATGTTGTAGGTTCATAGTCAAACTTTAACCAACAAACTCATGAGACCTATAACTAAATTAATCTCTTCACTACCAGGTCGCCACTTTTAATGCCAGATGATTTTATTGGGCACAGAGGGAATCCCGTAGGTGCTACTGTGTAGAGGAACAGAAAAATACAAACTTCATGTCCAGTCATACCAAAACTACATACAAGTTCAATTATCCATATATATAAAAAGTGTAAATCCAAGGGAAAATTAAACTTTCTAAACATCTTGGAATAATGTTATTTGCCAAAAATGTTTAAGTTAGGTCCTCAATAATACTCCAATGTTTATTTACTGTATATCCAAGCACTGTTCTCACATAAGGATGTTTGAGAGAATTTTGAAAACATTAAGTCACTGCTGTGAAACATTTAATTTGTTGTATGACTTAACTACCCATATTACTTTTTAGGGAAATATAGAACAGATATTAATTTTAAAATTTTAAGGATTTGATTAATAATAATAATTACTAAATGTATCAATGTATTATTTTTATTTGGAAAACTAAATAATAATAATGGGGGTTGGTGGACACTGATGCAAATGATAAACTCTGCTTGAATCACCATAAATCAAAGACTATAAAGTACAGAAAAACTTTCCTTGTTTTATCACAATTTCATAATAAATTTATAAGTCATTCTAAGTATGTAAAATAGATCACTTCGTAAATCTGAAGCTGCTCACTAGCAAAATGATCTCAAAATAATCAGTAATTAACCATTAGCACCTTCATAAAGTGGCAAAAAACAATTAAAACATTCTAGAAATTTACTATTTTTTAGGTGTTGGTTTTGGACTAAAATAATACAGTGGTTGCCTTCACTGCCTTCTTTCTTGGAGACATTAATCTAAATAAACCAAGAGGCAGTATGGTGGGTCATCTAGGCAGAGGATGAAAAACTAGCGTTGTATTGCATTTTACACCAGAAGGTTTATCTTGTGTCGAGTAAATGTAAAAGTACATTGTGTTTTCTAGTTTGTTCATCACTGCAGAGTAATATTTGCTACAGTATTCTTATTCTCATAAACCTGTATAAGTGACCAATAAATATTTTTTCTTTCTTTTAAGACAGAGTGCAGCATAACTTCCCTTACGGGACACAGGCTTTTTGTATGTAACTACAATATACAGGACTTACATTTTGTTCGTGTGCACAAATTTATTTATATGTATATGACAAATCTATGGTGAGACGCCCACACATATATCACTGATCTGCTTATACTGTAACCTAACCTACACCTTAAGGAAAATAGTTTTCTCATGTCAAAATCTTATGTGATTACCGTGTTTAATCTTTTTCCATGAAACAATTTGTCACAATTCACATAAAATAATACCATTTTACAATTTTAAGTGTGATAGCTGTAGCCACAATGAAGTGGAAGAAACTAATATGCAGTACATCGTGACGTGTAAGCAAAGCAGTACAGTACTGTATCTAGACATATGGAGACTTGAGTGTTTCAAGCCAATTCCCTTCTGGATGTAAGTCCAGATCATCACAAAGTTAGCTACTTACTCTTGTCCCAGCTAGCTCGTGATAATGGTTCATAGAGCTGCTATCCATTCATCTCAGCAACTAAACTAATCTTTTAGCTATACAACTGATCATCTTTAGAATCTGCTTACTGATGGTTTACCATAAATACTGGAATGAAATATAACTAAATGAAAAATTTTCTTCATGAAACCCCACCAACTTTGGAAAGAATCTTTTTTAATTTTATTCAAAAGAAGGTGCAATAAACTACAAGCCTTAAATCCCTAACCTTACAGGAAAAGAAGAAATGAAACACTATCACAAGGTCTTCAAAAGACAAAGAAGTAAACAATAAACACCAGAGTGACGACAGCACCGGCAGCGATCTTGGCAAACGTTGACCGCATGTTCAGATACTGAGCATCTTTATGGTACTTTTTGGACATAATTGACAGTCCAGTTGCCTTCGTCTCTAAATCTGAAATAAAAAATTAGCAGCTTTATGTTACTTGTAAAAGAATTTTAAAAAAATTTCTTTACGGATACCGTACAAATATTTTCCAGTTATGATGTAAGGAAAGGTGATAGGAGTTGACTGCCAGCTACCCCCAAGACTGTTCACTTCTCACACCCACACCAATCTAATGCAATGTTACCCTGTACTGCTGTCATGAGAGTCAGAAGGGAATTCATCCAGTGATATCTCTTATTATTTAAAATCTCCAGAGTCATACCTGAAAGAGTTCTTCCTAGCTCATGATGTGTGTCACTACCTGACCTTGTACCTGTGTGTTGTTCCTCACTAATGATACATGTCATCCTTGTACCTGAGAGAGTTGCTCCTCGCTGTAAGACGTCATCAATGTTGTCCATCATGATTCTCTGTACATCATTCAGATCTTCTCTTAGTTGATGCAAGTGACGTCGGCCTCGCTGGTCGCTGTACTGCCGACGAAGTTTCTGGATGTATGTGTCTGGGAATGTGATGTGGAGTTGTAAGTTACTTAATGCAGAAATATATCCATTTAATTAACATGGTAAAATGTAGAAATATGTCCATTTAATTAACATGGTAAAATACAACAGAATAACTTAATTACTGAGAGGAAATTAGGTCAATATCAACTGTTCCCTGAAACTGAGGTCAAGAAAATTTACGATCAATGACCTATGTAGAAACTACTTATGCAATAACATATATACAAAATGTAAAGCATTATATGAACTAATACTACTGTACTGTTATGCTTGCCTAACCCACACAAGCATGGAAAATGACCCTAAACCATATAGTTGTTATGTTTACAGAAATCAAATCATCAGAGTCTATTGTACTGCACTTAATATATTAATAGGAGATTTGATACCAGGAGACGGGATGTATTAATTATCAAAAGTAATATTACACTCGGTATTTCAGAACACAGGGTAAAAGATCCATCTGAAAAATGTTAATTAATAATAATCATCTTACCGAACTCAATGCAGGAGTATGGTCTGGTCGCTTGTGGAACTTTGGGTCCGTGTTGGAGTGTAAACTCGGAGGACATTTCTTCTAGGAAAGTAAAAGCAGTCTTTTTGCTGTACCCTCTCTCACACAGCACCAAATGACACACTCCATTCTCAATAATAAGGCTGAAAGAAATTATGTATCAATTACTAACCTGAAAAAGTTTGTACCGTACAGTGAAACCTCTATATAATGAACTTATCTCCATATAATGGGAGTTTTCACATCTGGGAGTTCTCACATCTGACAAACCCTCGATATAACGGACTTTTCATCTATAAGTAGTTCATTAGATGGAGGTTACACATATATCAGTCCCTCGATATAATGGACTTTCCTCTCCACATAGTCCATTAAATATAAGCTTCACTGTACAGTATATTCATACATATATGACAAAATAATGCTATACTATCAGGTCTTGTGGAGAGAAGATGAAGAGGCACAGAACCTCAAAAAAAGGATGGGAGGGGGAATGAAAGCAAAGAATATAGGAGAGTGGAGGATGAGGGAAGGAAAGAATATAGGAGAGGGGAGGATGAGGGAAGGAAAGAATATAGGAGAGGGGAGGATGAGGGAAGGAAAGAATATAGGAGAGGGGAGGATGAGGGAAGGAAAGCAAATAGGAGAAAGATATATAACATACAGTATAATGAACTAAAGAAAGCCAATATTTTACCTGCCAGTGTAAGAGTACGACTAACAATGGTACTGTACTTACTGGAAGACATACGGGCCAGTTTCTATGGTACATCTGTTGGGACTATTTACTGTAAGCTTTTTGAAGAGCATCTTGGCTTGATTCTGATAATCCACCAGACTGCGACCAGACTGTAAACATTGTTAATATTAATGTTAACAAGGTGCTGTATATATATATCTAACAAGAAGTGAATACTACTACAACAACTAATAATAATAATAATAATCCTTTGGTCAGTAGTTCCGTCATCTTATTTAACTCTTCATGGAGATCTTTCCGACCAATAAGTGAAATTATTATACGTAAATAAGGTGTGACGTGAGCCAATAGAACACAATTATTGGGAATTGCCTTATTTAATGATGTAATTAGGAAAAGGAAATACATCTCTAGGAGGTATTTTAATTCACTCTCACATATGTCTTAGTGGATATCATTAATCAAGATATAAAATATTACTTACTTGTTCGTCATCTTGGAGGGATGCAGCTAGAGGGAGCCCGTCACTCACTCTGGCTATCATGACCATTAAAACCATGATTATGTGTTAATAAATGACAACTAAAACTAAAATATTCTTCCTCTGCCTCAAACTCCCTCAGCTGGTGGCTGTGTTAAAGACGGCTCACCATACAGATATTCTTCATCTTATTAACAATACCTTTTAATTAGTACTTTATAATATTTTGGAAGTTATATTAAACTTAATTTTTAATTATTATCTGAATATATATCATTATTTTTTAAGTTAAATGAGGTGTTTATTTGTATAAAGATGTTATTTTGTAATGTGGAAATATTGAGGTTTGGGTGATGTGTCGTTCACTCGTCCGATTGAAGTAAAGCGATGAAATATTACGTGTTCTGATGACACTCGTATTAACAACTTATTTCCTTCTCATTCATTCCCAAGTTTTTATTAAGAAATACTGTACATATGTCAAATAATATTATAGCTAATAGGAATTGATTTATGAAGCCACGTCATCTGAAAAAAGTATCTCTTGAAGGAATGGAACAACTCACACTTTTCCTGAAATTCAAAAACACTAAATGTGATAAATAATATAAACAAATTAGGAATAACTTCATTTAACCTAAAGATTGAGTTTTTAAGAGTATTCTTCATATTTATTTTTAGTTTGAATTTTACTATAAATTACATCTATCTCCATTACCAAAACACAAAAATCCATGCTTCTTTGGCTAAGTAATGATTTTATCTTTTTTTTTTTACAGAATATAAAACAATACCTTAACGTAAAACTTCAAACTTCGTTCAAAATTAAATGTTTCTTATGAAAATATCCCTCAAATGGAAATCAATGATTAGAAGAATTACTTATAGTTTATCAATATAGTTTATCGGATTTCAGAAGGCCTTTATATGCCTATTATGTTTATGTACAGTACAGTAAGGGCTGTCCTTCACTCAATGTTAAAAATAGACCAGAAAATAAATTTTTCCACCCTGAAATTAATTCCTACGCGTCAGAGTAATGAAGGACAAAAGAAAACCCAGGATTATGAAGGACAAGAAACACCAAGTGTTGTCATGGTCAACTTACCATTAACACATACGCTCACCAGGTGTGAGCACCAAGCTGACGTGAGCATTCAGAGTTATTTTAATATTTTAATTAAGCGGGGATTCCTTACCAGAATGTACCGGAAGGAAGTGAGTTATCGTTTCAGGTTGTAATACTCAGAAACAAATTCTTTAATGTCATTAAGAGGACAGAAAAGCATATGAAATAAATCAAAAGGCCATTTAATGATATATACATATATACAGTACCTATCTTGCCATTAAATAAATCTGAATACATTTATAAACGTATATAATGTATAACTAATCTAAGCCGTAACTTTAATCTGTCTAAACTACCGACCACAAGCATCAAGAGGCGGAAGTCGGAAGTGCTGCATCAGTTGCTATCGAGTGACCTTGGGCTGGGTAATCATGTAATTACTATATGTATTATTATATACATCATCGTTTGCATTTATAAATGAGATTAAAATATTGAAAAATTGTATATTAATCGTTATTATTACTATTAATTTAACCTAGCGTTGGCCTAGCATAACACTTACCTCGCGCGCGCGTGTGTGTGTGAGCAAGGGAACAAGGATGTTAAAACAAAACATCACAAAAAAGAAATATAAAAAACTTTATTACCTCACATATCCTGTACAACATAAATGACGAATACTTGTACTTCACAATGCTTAGTAGTTAATAACTCATATCAACGTGTTATGTAAATATTCAGTTCTATTCAAAGAATAGTCATATTAATCCCTTCTCTACGGGGTCGCCTCATTTAATAATAATTACATACATATAAAGAGACAATTGACCTCTCTACAAAGCTACGCCCAATTTAATTAAGGTAACTGTTCTTGTCGCCGGAGCTTCACTGAGAGGTCAGTTATAATGAACACCTGCAAGACCTACTGTATGTGATGGATTCATAGGTTGCGTGTGGATATTTACAGGGGGAGCTTAAAGACAATATGGAAGACCAGTAGCTACAACGTCCCTATCGAAGTGTTGTCGACGAAGCTGGCCTTTCTGGGCGCCATCTGATGAGAGATGAGTAAGAGAGACTATGAAATGAAGAGATCTTTAAATACGCTTCTCTGAAGAGACATGCAATACAGTAAATCAGTGCTACTCTAGCGTGCTGTATACACACGTATCTTTAGTCTACCTTTCCCTGACCTAACCTGAAAATACTAAACTAGGAGTTTTGATAATAAACATTCTAAAATATTGGGCAAGTTGTAGACCACAGTCTAGTGTAAATAATTATGTTGTAGACCGCAAGATGTAGTAGCACCCATAAATCTATTGCATCACCGTCCCTAAACTTTTTATGAATATTTAGTAAAGTTTATTAGAAACAGTTGTAGAGAAGTTATAAAAAAAAATCATGAATTGCAGTGATCAAAAATCGTACAACCAATGTATTTATTATTACCCATCTCACCTCAAGTCTTGGTGTGTTTGGAGAGCTGCAGGTGATCTTCCTCCACCTGTGAATCGCCCAGGCCTTAAGAGAAGCGAGGAAGGAGTTACTGGCCCAGGCGTACATAGGTAGGAAGAGGAGAAGATGGAGGCGGTGGATCAGATGGCCGCCATCCACCAGCAGCTGCGGTACGAGATCCTGGCCGAGTATTCGTGACGCCAGTGGCAGCAACGTCTGTAAGGAACGTGGCTGTGAAAGTAAGATCTATAAAATATACTTTACTTTATCCTTTTCGCCGCGGTATCGGTACCTGCTCCAGTGTTAGCCAACTCTGTAGTATTGAATGAGCCCACTAGGTGCCGATACAACACTGGTAGATGGTTCCAAGAGTTCACAATTGCAGAGACAAACACTCGCCCTTTTTTAGAGTGAGATTTGTTAACTCTGGAACTATCTTCAGTGTTGTGACAGCACCGAGTGTAAACAGACTTGACTAACACTGGCGCAGGTATTGATGCATTCTGGAGTACTTGCAGACGTGACCGACAGTCGATTAGTGGCGAAGAGGATAAAAGTAAAATGTAAAGATAAACAAGTACAGTATAGTGAGGCGATCTATTGCTGGGCGACCCACTACTGCACTTCTGTATTCCTAGTTTGGGTAACAAGTTTAAAATCTCTTTATAAACACCGGCCAATATGATATTTTGATGATATAAATCCTTAACATGACACTTCTGTAAAATGGTCGGTGGTGACAAACACACGCCCACAGATTCACACATAGAACTTACATGAGGCAGGGAGAGGATAGCGTACAACATAAATACAAGGAGAGCTGATCTTGCTGTCTTGTATCGGACCACCGCCTCTGTCGCCTCCTTATCGTCGCTGTGAGGTTGTGTACGATAATCCCAACGGAACTCAAGGGCCACCAGGACGTAGAAGACTAAGTTGATGAAGGCGCCTATGGTATACAAGACCGAGTAAGCCACCAAGAAGGTCATATTGGTGCGTCCGTTGTTGCACATCGTCGGTAGCTCCACCACGCAGGGCAACAACAGCAGTATTATGGGGGACATCCAACACAGAGAGCAGAGCAAACGGCAGCGGAATACAGTAATTAGATTGTAGTAGCGGAGTGGCCTACAGATAGCTATATAACGGTCAAGAGCCAAGCAAGTGAGTGTGAGGCAGGACACGAGACTTAAGTAACGCTGAACCATCCTGACGAAACATCCCGCCAGCGACATATAGCTGAAAATAGGGACCGTTAACAACAGTACCCCGAAAAAGAATGACAGCGTAGAGAAAATCCCGATGCTGATGATTAGTGAATTGGAGAATGAGGTTGCGAGTCTTTCCCTGAGACCGTGGTTGCAGATGGTTATGTACCCAGCTAGGAGACACTCAGCCAACGTCGCCGCACTGAACATGACATACACCAACAGTTTGCAGTCAAAAGTGTGCTTGCCCTCCACCATAGTATCGTTTAGAGACATATTATTTCACTTAAGTCTTTAAATAATAATGACCACTTGGGTTTTCAACACCTCACGGCTTCATTCTTCTTAAAAAGTCAGTTTCAAGATATATTTCCTCGACTTCACTATGTAACATGAGCTGCTTCAACTTAAGGAACAAGCTTGAGCATTTATTTAGCTGTTATGTTTTGTTACCTCAGCGGGACTTCGGGTCTTTGTAAAATATATGAATATCTTGTCGCTTATTTTTTTTTTTTTCGAATGACAAATTAGACGTACAGTAGATTCCCAAGGTTCAAGTTTCCATTATATTTCTTGTTATCTTACGGGTTTCCCAGGTGATGGTGGGTCACACTCCACCTTAAAACATTCATATTTTAGACGTTCCTAAAGTTATGTATTCACTTACAATATTTTCAGTTGGATATTTCACTTAGTGGTATGTTTAGAATTATTTATATTTTTCTCAGTATTGTATGGGTCACTCGTTTATAAATGAAATTAAGTCTTATTTAATATTTGCAGTACTGTACGTACATATAAGTCCTACGTATACTGTTTTCTCTTCGTCTATATGTAAGATTGAAATAATTGAAATAATATTTAAAAATATCCTTACAGCACTTTACATTGATAAGACCTTGTTACAATAGGTGCATCTCACCTCGGCGTCAGTAACTCCACTTCAGAAGTGTTCAGTGACTCACAGACTCACCAAAACAAACACCACACACAAAAAGTGTTGGTTTGACAAAATGTTATTTCTTGTTGTCTGAGAGTACTGCAGCACCAATATCCTTCCAGTCTCCTCTTCCACATACACTTATCGCACATGTATTGTAGCGTCAAATTGAACCCTGTATAAGCTTCATCAGATCCATAAAAATATTGAAATTCCTTTAACACCTTGAGTAGCGCCACACTTGATCACTTAGTTTATCTCAACACCACCAGCAGCAGCAGCAGCAGTGATGTTATGTGTGTTGTGATTCGACAGAGGCAGTGGGAGCTGTGGTTATCAGTTTGTCCCTGCCAGCATGTTAAGGACTTCCTGTGGGGGAATGTGTTTCTCCAGGCACATGTCACAGGATTTTACTAAATTGTTGGGGCAATATGTAGCTTCCGTTCAACCAGTCGTTTGTTAGATGTTACGACACTAACGACGAAGTAATGACGTAAGGAAAACGTTTACGTTGTAAAACTGATGATGCACACGTTTGAGTGGAAGAAAACGTTCAATCTATATGGTCAAAAACGTTCAAGAGAGGGTCAGTATAACTGGTATCGACACTTCATCACCTCATGCACCAAGAGCGCCTTCAACTGTCTACTTTATAAAGAACCTCAAAGGCCATTACCCAATCATGTACACATACATGGAGTTAGCGGATGGCCGTCCCACTAAGTGTCACAGCTTCACGTTAAACTGCCAGATAATGTTGTGGTGGCACCGAGTGTGAAGTTAAGATCAGACTTAGTCACTAGAAGCACAGGTTCAGACATTCAAGAGAGGCCCATTGGTGAAGGCAATAAAGGAAAATATAAAATCACAAAATCAAACCACCAATACAACACAAACACAGTGAGCACCATGGCATGACCGAGTGAAAACCATTAAACGCAACTAATGTGTTACGTCTTTCTGTAACATTAGGCTACATTTATGCAATCTATTAGGTTCCCAACTGATGTAATTTATTTAGGATTCTCGAATAAAAATGATCACCCAGTATCTACACTAAGCCACTACTTCTACTGGTGTTGTAGAAAATTAAGTTGGGAAAGAACGAATGGTTTACTTGTGTCGATATATTACTCAGTGAAGCCTACTAGAAATAAGCATTTGATGACTTTGTAGGCTATCCTTGGTCAAATTGCTTTCTTGTTTATCATTGTTATAACGTTTTACATGTTCAATGCCCAGGACTCCCAAATATATTAATTTTCAAGTGAAGAAATATTATGGATACTAGATATAAGTTTTTCTCTTAAGCTGCATCAGTAAAGGGTAGTGTTGTGACGGCACCGAGTGCGAGCTCTTTCAGTGCATGCCCAGTACTTGCCAACAGTGTAACAGAGACGTGAGCGTCCGCCCTAACGAGCCAATCAGCGGTGAAAAAAAGTGATATGACCCCTGAATCTACCTTCAAGAAAATCAAAGTTATATTTATATACTGTAGATATGTTACTTGAGAATTTAAATTGAAGTTATATCTTACCTTTACCATAATTTTTCAGTAATCTTGGCTTTAATGTTTTGTATCCTTATATCATGTAATGTGTACAGCATCACATTTGAAAGAGCATTTTTGTTATCTATGGCATCTATTTAAAGTGTACAGGTATTAAGCAAAAGTCTCCAGTTTCAGTAATAAATATTAATTACATGCATTTTTATACCTTTCTTATATATTGAAGTTGTTAATGATCAAGCATCTCAAAATTATGATGACCTGTTTAGTTTAACTGTAAGGAGATAAAGAGTTCAATAAGAGATGGTCAGCTCAACTTCTCTATATAACATAAAACAATGTCTCAAATATTATTGTTTTCCACAAGGGTAAATGAGGTGAAGTAAACAAATAAGTATAAAACAACGGTAACTACAATTAACTTATAACTATTTACACTTTAGTAAATTTAGAAAGAACGGTTACACAGCAAACATATATCTATATATATACGTATATGAAAAACTGGGGGGATCACCACAAGCGCACAGGAAAGAGTATTACGCCAGTCACGTAGAAACACGAGAGGTGAGACAATATCCCCAGGTCTTGAGCAATGGTTGGGGTTATGTTACCTGATATATGAAACAGACAAAGATGCAAGATACGTTAGCAGTAAATAAGGTCCTGTAGTGCAGAGAGTAAGCCAATTAATGTGTCAACACTGGAGGTGATGAGGTGAGGCTCCTGGTGAGTGCAGAACATATTTTTATATGGGGCAGCACAGAATTCTCAATGGCTATAGGCTTCTAAGATTCTAAATGGACTATAAGCTCAGGGAAGATGATGATTAGTCAACTGAAATTCACTAGAAGGATATAAGATGTTTTGACTCCTCATGAGCTGTGAATCAATTGGATACGTTAAGTCAAACCGCACTGGTCAGCCACTGTTTTCGATACCAATAACTAAGTGTACAGTATATTAATATGACATAACACCAGCAATAAATGACAATACAATCCTTTATATACAATACATGAAATTAATATTAAATAACATGGAAATAAGTAAGAATAAAAGATAAATATAGAAATGTTACAATAGTTGAGCGAAAATGTGGTTTAATTCAGAAATACCGGATAAATATCTTAACTTGTAAGAGTCCCCAAAGGTCACTCTTGTTCAGGGCTTCCCAAACCCTGAAGGCCCCACTGCTCCCACTCTTCAATTTGGTATTATGTTTAATCGGTATTTAAAAAAGTTGAAGAAAACTAAACAGTACTATATAACACGGCAGCAGCTTATTTGGGAAAAAGGCATTAAAATTATCAATAAAAATATGAACATACTGTATAGTTGAGAACATATATATATTTACAGTATCATTGTACACTTACAGTTTACAGTAAAACTGCCAACTTTCTCTTGTACCGACGTTTCTATATACATTTTGCTGCTCATTGATTCACTACAAACCAGTTACCAATTTGCCATGTGTAGCAAATGGTGAACATAGTGGACAATCCTAATTCTAGCTTGGTTAAATTTCTTAAGCCTTGTGCCACAGTTGCAGCATAAACTGAAATAAAAAGAAAATAGTCAAGATTTAAGCCAAATTTGGGTTTGAAGAACAATATCTCCTCTGAGCATATGCTTTACACACCTTAAACCTTATCTTTAGTATATGAATGCATTACAGGATTATTCATATAATAGACAATTAATGCACTTTGTGCAAAATCTGGACTCGGGGGGGAATATATATATATATATATATATATATATATATATATATATATATATATATATATATATATATATATATATATATATATATATATATATATATATATATATATATATATATATATATATATATATATATATATATATATATATATATATATATATATATATATTATATTATTATATATATATATATATATATATATATATATATATATATATATATATATATATATATATATATATATATATGTAACACACAACAACACACACAAACAACAAAACAACCACACACACAAACACACACACACAAACACACACACACACCAACACACACACAACAACAACAAATATTATATATATATTATTATATTATTTATTATATATATATAATATATATATATATATATATATATATATATATATATATATATATATATATATATATATATATATGTATATATATATATATATATATATATATATATATATATATATATATATATATATATATGTGTATATATTATATATATATATATATATATATATATATATATATATATATTTATATTATATATATATATATATATATATATATATATATATATATATATATATATATATATATATATATATATATATATATATATATATATATATATATATAGAGATGTTAGTCTAGTCATGAAATGACACCATCCTAATTCCTAAAAGAATTGGGAAATGCATGGTACTCATGAAACTTTCCTAAATTCTTTAAGAGTTGGCTATATATGATATTTCATGTTCACCGATCACCGCGTTGAGGTCTGGCGACCGGATCAGACCAGGCAAATCGTCCAAAAGGCGAACCTTTCGTCCGTGGAACCCTAAACCACGAACCCCGAAGGAGTACCTGGAATTCCCAATGGTAGCTAGGTTACCAAGTGAATTGCTCACCCGAAGGTGATATGCTGACCACCCACGCGAGTGGCAAGTAAGAAGTGGAGGGAAGGAAACCAACAACCAAAAACTGGTAGCTGGCGAGGAGGATGGGATGGGATACCAACTTCCCGAAGAGGGAAGAAGGTAATGGTGAGGAACACCAACTCCCCATGGAGGAGAAGGATTATGGGAAGCATCAACCCCAAGGGGAGAGGGGATGACAAGGATAAGAGCTCACATAGTGAGCAAAATAAGCCTCCCTGAGGTTGTGAGAAGTAAAACCTGGTTTGGCACTGCAGACTACTCCACGTCTCCTGCAGAGAGTGTTCCACTGTCTCCTACGGAGTGTTCCACGGACCCAGAGCAAGTTCACGGTCTCCTCAGAGAGCAAGTTCCCCACGGTCTCCTAGAGAGCAGTTCCCCACGGTCTCCTACAGAGAGCAAGTTCCCACTGGTCTCCTACAGAGAGCAAGTTCCACGGTCTCCTACAGAGAGCAAGTTCCACGGTCTCCTACAGAGAGCAAGTTCCCCGGTGTCCTACAGAGCAAGTTCCCACGGTCTCCTACAGAGACAAGTTCCACGGTCTCCTACAGAGCAAGTTCCCACGGTGTCCTACAGAGAGCAAGTTCCCCGGTTTCCTACAGGAAGCAAGTTCCCACGGTGTCCTACAGAGAGCAAGTTCCCATCGTGCGTTCCGTACAGAGAGAAATTCCACGTCTCCTACAAGTTCAGTTCCCGAGTGGAGCAAGTTCCCCAGTCTCCTACAGAGAGCAAGTTCCCCAGTCTCCTACAGAGAGCAAGTTCCCCACGGTCTCCTACAGAGAAACAGTTCCCACGGTCTCCTACAGAAACAGGTTCCCACGGTCTCCTACAGAGAGCAAGTCCCACAGTCTCCTACAGGAAACAGAAAGTTCCCAAGTCTCCTACAGAGAGCAGGTTCCCACGGTCTCCTACAGAGCAAGTTCCCAGTCTCCTACAGACAGCAAGTTCCCAGGTGTCTACAGAGGCAAGTTCCACGGTCTCCTACAGAGAGCAAGTTCCCCAGTCTCCTACAGACACCAAGTTCCCACGGTCTCCTACAGAGAGCAAGTTCCCACGGTCTCCTACAGAGAGCAAGTTCCATGTCCTACAGAGAGCAAGTTCCCACGGTCTCCTACAGAGAGACAAGTTCCCCGGTCTCCTGA